CTATTTAACAAATTAATCTTTTATTATTTTTCTGCAACAAATTTAAAAACTTTTATTGTACTATATTTTTAATGTTATGAAATACACGCTTGTCAATTAGCTTTATTTGAATAGGTAGGTCAATTATAGGTGCAACCATTTTTATAATCATCATAGTTCACGAGTTTTTCAACAACATTAATACAGGATATCAGAAAGTTCTTCGACCAAAAAGGCAAAAAGAATAATAAAAAAAAAAAATTTTAATCTACATACTTAATATAGTTAATTTAAATGTATTGATATTTTATATTATTATCTTCATGCAATTTGTTTACTAAAAATGAGTTTTATAAATAAGAAAAATATTTTTTCCTCTTCAAAATTTTTTTAAAGAACCTTCAAATTTGTCAAATAGAGGTTCCACTCTATTAAAATAAAAATCATTGACTGTAAATATATATTATTTATTGATAGRTATACTATTCGAATAATTAAGATTTGACTGATTTGGGACTATGTGTGTAGTACGAAAATGTGGATGTGTTAGTGACTGAACTAGTATATAGAATAAGRTAGAAATAACAATCAARTGGCAAGTATAAGTATGACTAATTTATAATAAAATTAATGACAAATTTGTTTAGTGTACAACGTAAATACTGGAATATTATTATGATTTTTGATCACATTGCAGCCTATGGAATATTATAKGACCTAGAACAAATATAGGTCCCTCAAAATTTCACACAAAAACAGGATTGYCTTTTCGAGTCAATATACAAACTGGACGACCGGCCCATGTTAATCAGGTAAGAAAAATATATATTTATTCATTTATAGAATCATTTTCACATTTACATTCTTTAACTATTATACATTTATTGGATTCTGCTTCTTGCATTTTTTTGTAAACATCTATCAGTGATTGACATGGTTTTGGTACCATTTCATCAGATGAATAATACAATTTCATCTTAATGGGATTTTCAAGCATTTCAAAACGTTCATTCCACATGCGTTTTTTATGATCGACCTATTTTTAAGAATTTATTAACGTTTGATAACAATTAACAAAATCCGTATTTAATAGTTACTTGATATTCTTTACGTCTCAAAAAATGAATCCAAAAATAACTATTAATTATTAATGATGCTCCAAAAATACCCCATATTAATCCACCTGATGGGTTTTTCTTGATTAACCTCCAAGAAATGAGCTCATTCAGGCGAGTTTTTGTAGAAGCCAATGATTTATTTGCACTTGGATTGTTCATAATTTCTTTTCAATTAAAACAAGTAGTTGTTAAATAAAGAAATGGTAGAAGACAATTTTTAATTAGATTTGTGAATAACTAAAAAAATWAATGTATGGTTACTAGTGTTTCTACTGTCTATTAGTAATAGCCAGAGTATTATATTTTTTATTTATTTATTATAGATAAAAATTGCATATTTAAATTTATATATATAGCCATATAGGTATATATATATAGGATTTCTTTAAAAAATCAATCATTTCTAGAAGAAGTCCATGTTATTATTGACATATTATATGAATAGTTAATTTAAAATGTAGTAACAGAGTGTTAAACGAAATACATGTTCTTTGTTATTATTTTTCTTAAATTACATAATCATGAAAATGTTAACTATGTATATTACAATCATTGACCTATTAAGTAGTTAATAGGTCTATGATTACAATAAATAGTAGCATAGTAATGAGCGTATGTTGAAGGAGGGGGTACTAAGGTAACTTTACTCTGTTCTACCATGCAGAGAGCATGCTGTGACTCGACCAAAATCAGTTTTTCTATGCATCTACATTCATATACAAAAATTATTTACTGCTACGTAACAAAAGTGATTAATTGTTTTATATGAAAATGGGAATCCGTAACTTTAGATCGAAAGAGCCGCAGGTTGCTGACCCATGTTATAATTATGTAGTCATRTGTATTTAATCATATGATAAACATTACTCATAATACTAACATGTTATATATGTATGCGAATGAATGTATGAATTGTGAATAATAATAATGACAAATTCACAATTCAAATAAACCAATACCTACCTAAATAATTAAGATCGATGTACTAAACGAGCCGGTAATCAACGGCAACTCAATCAAATACATGTGRGTAATCAGTGTTCTTTTTATTGCCCACGACCACGAGACGAGCGCACAACAATAAATAAATCGTTACGTCACAACGATATAACCATAGATACTACATAATCTAAATCCAATATCTATGGATATAACCGATGATGCCCTGATAGCCATAGCCTAGGTATAGGTAATGCTAATAAAAACGTAACGTCACAACAGCACGTAATACTGGAGATTGCGGATTACGGTATAACGAGTACCTACGAGACCGTAGACGCATTATTATACTCAGTACCTACGCATAGGTACAAAGGTAACGGTAGATGATTTGATTTCCTGTTTGYGTTTGGACCGTTTGGTTACAAAATGGCGRTAGTGCGGTACGTTCGACGAACAGCCTCCGATGATGAGCGGAAAACGATGAACGTTCTGTGCTCKAATTTAATTTATGGTATTTTGGGTAAGCTGCGAAATTTACGATGGCACAAACAGACGCATAGCGATTAGCATGCTATGCACTGACGTCCCATATAGATACATTATATACAATATACATATTTGACACCACATTAATACATTATACAATTCAACCAGCCAATGATCTCGGGTAGGACTTGGATGGCCCGGGTAATTTAGGTTAGGTTACCTACTGACAAACTATATAACAGTTTTGACGTCCGGTGAAAACGTGCCAACTCCGCACCCGCACCCGAAGAGAAATCGCTATATAGGTAGTAATATTCTGAGGATAAACATAATTCGAAGGGTAGGTACTCATATAGTATTTTATAGAAACTGAGATGTTCTTAAATTTATGAATATGAATTAAATTAAATAAAATAATTTATTCCACATTTCCACACATATTGTTAAAGGTGGTTCTATTTAATATTTACTAGTCAAAAAGTTATTAAATAAAGGAGTTAAGTAAATATTTTTTCCCGTGTTTATTTTAAACTTTGGACTAAATATATAAAACGTTTATTAATGAATATTAACTTATAGCTTAACTTCTAAATGTAAACTAAAGTTACCAGAGTTAATTTTTTCATAAACTTGCCTTTATTTACATAATTGGATCATAAATGCATAATGTACAAGTATCTAATATTTGGTATAGAAACTTATTTTTAATGTTATGATCATAAGATTGTAATTAGAAAACTTAATTTAAATATTAATAATGTCAGGTATGTATCACATATTATATTAGTTCAAAATGCCATAATGGTAATATAGGTATTAGGTGTACTAAAGCAAAACGGCCTCTGCTTATTATTTATTATGTTATAATTACAACGTATTATGTAAAAGTTATTGCTATACATGTTTATCGACCCGGTAGAAGGTGAAAATCGTGCATGTAACAATAAAACAATTTCTGAGTACAGTACCATATTGTATCACAGCATATTGCACTTATACATTTAGTTATAACTTATATTTATTACTTATTCGCGCAAAAATTATCGGCGCACATACTGTTCGCCTACCATAGGTGGAAATCCATTGAAAAAGTTAGGGGGGGAGGGGGTGCTACGATTTTTCTCATATTTTTTTTTTTATATTTGAAATTTAATAATATAAATATTTTATAACATAATATATAATAATATAGTATAGGTACTGTATTAGGAAAAAAATACAATAAAATAACAGTCATGTTGAATAGTTAAATATATATTTTTACAATAAATGCCTTATTTAATATTTTAAAACCATCATCCTTTAGGTCCATCCTTTCATCCTAAATAATTATTTCGACAGGAACTGCTTATTACATACTGCTGTCTTCCGTGTGAATTTCCATTGTATAATTTTTCCTTAATTTTTTTTTTTTGGTTCTTGAAAAATATTCACCTTCCGGCTCCAATACCCCCTTTCTCATTTTTTTTCTTCATAATTAAGCTTTAGTTGATTTTTGTGTACACATTTTTCAAACTTTAAGAATCATGTGCATTCTAAATATTTAATCTTTCATAAATTTCTTATTACTTACTGCAGTATTCCGTGTATATTTCTATTGTATAATTTGTTTTTATTTTTTATTTGCTTCTCGAAATAGGTACTTTTTCTTGCGGGCAAATGTATTCGCTATGAGTTTCCCTATCTAACGATGACTTGCACAAGACCGTTGGAAAATCGTTTTAGCTTTTCTCTACAAATAAAATTGTTTATATACCTACTTAATAATTTATCTTCCCAAGTTTTGTATTTCTGGATTGCGACTCTACATGGCACATGCCCGATACCACTCATCGCGTCGGCTTGTTCATTCCAAATGCATGTCCCTGTAATGTTTTCTATACACATTGTTATGTTATAAATTTTTACATTTATTAATAAATAAGTGTGATAACCAAAAGTAAAACTCCTATTGTAAAACGTTATTATTCACGACCACGGGCCGTACAATAACATCTACGAACCATGTCAATATGTATTATATTTGTTAGCTTTGTACTAATGTACTGCAAAGAGACAAATATTTACTCCTGTAGGTACCTTAGCTACGCCCTTTATTAAGTACTTATCTTTTGCTATTTAATTTTAATTTTTAATTTATTCTAAATAATATAGATTAGTCAATCTTATATACCTACCTAAACCTTAATGTATACAACACAAGGTTTTTAATTCTACACATTAATACCCCTAAATTGCCTACCTATTACGCCGTCTTAAATGTTCCCGGTTTGCCTTTACAAAACACAGCTAGTGGACAGACCTATAGATGTCGACAGATACTTAAGCTTTCAAATGATGCATATAAACTTTTACGATGTTTCATAACACCGATTTTTTTTGTTTATGTTTCATTAAAGCGTCTATTTTAATGTTGATAGTCATTTTAGATTCTGAGTGTAGTGATGAATGATTTTACAATGATGTGTGTTTTTTTGTGTTTGTGTAATTGTATACATGATAAGTTGTCGAAATAATGCTTTAATTTTTAACTTCAGTAGCTTTTCCAGTTGCAAGGTAACTAAATTCTCAGTAGAATCAAGTTATTAGGTCACCTGGGAACTTTGAAACAGGTAATATGGATATCACAATTTTCGAGTCAAAATTGACAAATTTTTTTTTGGCAAATGTAATCGAAAACAATATTCAAAAAAGAGCCATTCTATTATCATCAGTTAGTGAGGAAATTCACAAAGTACATTTTAGTTTATGTGTTCCTAGCACGCCAAACGATGTTGAGTATGACACTCTAATGAAAAGTTTGAACAAATATTTCAAACCAATAAAATCATACTTTGCGGCTAGGTATACGTTTTATCAAGCTAAACAAAGACAAGATGAATCGGTGTGCCAATAGGATACACGTGTCAAAAATCTTGCTTCAAAATGTGGGTTTTCGTCGGAACTAACAACACTCATTAGAGACATATTTGCTGTCGGTATGGGTTTAGGACCAATCCAAGATCGTTTGTTAGAAGAGGATGCCTCAAAAATTGGAGTTACATATTCAAATCTAATGGAAATCGCGACAGCCAAAGAAGCTGCAATAAATTACAAGAGTGGCTGGAAAAAAGAAGAATACGCAGACTTGAAGTACCAAAAAATTTTTCCATAATTAATCAAAATTCTCAATATCAAGCGGTGAAACCGTTTACAGAAAATTTAATCGTAGAAAACAATAATATAAGTTTCGAAATTGATACCGGTTTACAACACAGCGTAATTTCAAAAAGATTATATCGTCAACTGTTTAGTCATATATCTAATTAAAAAAATATGACATTTCGCTACCTATCTGATTACGTCGGCAACGACATTAAACCGATAGGAAAAATATTTGTCGATTCGGTGTAACAAAATAAAAAATTTACAATGTGCCTTTATGTTATCGACAATGGTGGTCCTCCATTAAAAGGTCGAAATGATATAAAAAACATAAAATGTTTTACCTTGTTTAGTATTGAAAATGACGTAAGTGTCGATAGTATTATAAAAAAATATAACAATGTTTTTAAAGATGAAATAGGCACTTTTAACAAATACGAAATTTCATTAAATATCAAAGCGGGGGCAGTACCTAAATTTTACAAACATAGGTCTATTCCTTTAGCATTAAAGGGAAAAGTTGAAACCGTAATAATTGAGCGTTTAATCAAAAGCAACATTTTATTTCCCGTCGACCACAGCGAATGGGCAACTCCAATAGTACCAATA